AGGTCCCAGAAGGGAGCAAATATGACAATTTAGTGGTTTCAGAGGCTTAATCAATTTTATATATAGATAGTCTACTATTATTGAAAATGAAAGCCACTTACCAAAAAAAATGTATGTATATTCTATTAGTAATCTTTTCTCTATGTCTAATAATAATAAAATAAATAATACTAACCCTCTATTTAAGTTTACTTGATGTTTGGTAAACCTTTTTCCACTTCAACAAAAATTTCAAATTTACAGATGTTTTAAAAATAAATGACATATCATGAATTGCCTACTATTTAAATGAATCCACATGTACTGCTTCCTCACCTTACAGCAGAGTGTGAAGAAACTGTTAACTAGATGATTCATCTCTGTACTTTGCAATGCCAAATTCCAAGCTGTGGAGTACAAAAATGTAATAAGTGGGGGAAAAAGTTCAGGGCGAAAATGTCACAGGGGCAAAAATACCGGGGAAAATATCCTGGGGAAAATTGTCCAGGGGGAACATGTCTGGGGGGAAAATATCCAGGGGAAAATGTTCAGGGGAAACCAGCCTGCTCCCATAATAAGTATATTTTACCTCATATCTACAATATGATAGTTTGATGGGTTTTATAGTAATGTGTTAACTGACTTTTGAATGTGAATTAATTAGTAAAATAGCATAAGAAAAATTAACTTTACTAGTTCAAAAAAATTATCATGAGGCTAATGATCCACCTTGAAATTGCTAACCTATTTTCATAAACCAAGTGGCTTCCTGCGCTACCAGCTGATGATCACAACTGGAATCCTTTGACATTGCCGTAACCTTTGACACAGCTAAAATAGGAAAATTCCTTGTTTCAATTATTTATGTTTTTACTTTTTTGCTTCGTCTAGTATATGCTAATTTGTTGTTTAAAAAGCAGATGTAAACTACAAAACTTACCAGTTTTCAAATATGATAGAAGCGTCTCAACATCATCCCTGTATTAGTTAAAAATTTATTAATTGAATTAGTTTTTTAAGAGAATATTTTGATATCTTACAATAACAAAAAATAACAACAATGAAACTAATGATACAGGCTTCCTTAACAAAAGGGCATCTACACTAGATTTAGGTTAAGTGGTTACTATGACAACAGTAGCCATTGACAACAGCATACTTATTCTCAGGAGAGGCTTCCATCAGTGTCAGTTTCAGTCTCATCAAACACCTGCAATGTAATTGAAAATGTAATCAATAAAACACTATTTTATTATATTATAAATGCAATATATAATGCATTAATACTAAATACTATGGTTGCAACTACATAAAAAAAAATTAAAAGATATAAAAAGCACTTAAAAAGAGAAGTGGTCAACGCATTTACCTTAGGGCTGTAAGGACTTGTTTCGAGTCTTCCGAGCTGGACACTAAAGCTTCCAATGCCTTCACTGCCACAACCCTGTTACTCTTCTACATTAGTTTATTTAAAAAAATATATAAATAAGCATAAACCTGTAAAGTACTGTATTTCAATCA